GTAGAAAAGTACTTAGTGAAATCTTTGCCCTCTGACCCCCAGCCATGTAGATGCCTTAGTAGGGGCAACCCCAATGCTGCTAGTTTTTTATGTATCTTTCTAGAGAAATTCCATGTGTATATAAAGAAGTACATTTTACTTTTTTTCTATCATAATAATGATAGAGTACTCTATATACTTTCCTGAACCTTCTTTTTTTTTTTCATTTAATATATCTGGGTGGTTATTCCATATAAAAATATAAAAAAAATTCCTAGTTATACATTTTACAGTTGAAAAATATCCCACTCTATGACTGTTTCATAATTTATCTAATCAGTCTTCTCTTGTAGGTTATTTTTAGGTTAATGCAAAGACAAATTAAGACTTCAGCTCTTCTACCCAGGAAAAAATAAGATGTAAAAATAATGCATTTACAAAATAGATGGTGTCATTTGAATCAGAGTCAAATAGAGCTAGATCATAAATTCCATAAAAAGGCAGGGACTGTCCTCAGTGTGAAGCACAGGTCCCAGAGCTTAGAAGATGTTCAATAACTACTTGGGGAAATTAATGAATGAGTTAGTGAATTCAGACAATAAGTTCAGACAGTGATCAACAAGTCTTTGTGGAATGAATCAGTGAATCATTTCGAGAGCGAATGAGTTCAGCTGGGTGGTCAGGAAACGTCTTCATGAAAAGGGTGGTGACACTTGGCACCTCTCATGGTTCATATGTTACTCTGAAAAAAATCACACCAAATTTAAAGCTTCTTCATAGTTATAACTTTCTTGTACAGCTTTTTAATTTTCTCGGAATTTTTATTTGTCTTTCCTTTTATTGATCAGAAGAGATATAATTTCAGCTCACCAGGAGTATGTGGTTATACTTCTGGGTTATGAATCATAGTTCCTGAAATTCTTAAAGGTATTCTTCAAGAACTCTTCTTGCAGTTGCAATGTGAACTGATTGTGTTCCAGTTATACAGCTCTTAAACAGAGGCTTCCTTTCATCATACAGCTCAGTTGGTTCCACTGTTTCTTATAGTCAATGTCTTCTCTGTCCAGGGTTTTCACGTTTGCTCTATTAATCTCCCTATCCCCTCCCAAAAAGAGTATATGTCCAACTTTTAGAGTACTAAGATGTCCAAAAACATCTTTATTTTGCCTTCATACTTAAGATTTTTTAAAACTGGATATAGAATTCCAGATTTGAAATTATTTCCTCTAGGATTTTGAAGACATTATTTTAGCAATCTATGTTATAGGTGAAAAGATGATACCTACTCATTCCTTTCCTCCTTATTCTTTGAATTAAGAAATTTCAGCAGATTATGGGGAGAGAGAGAGGGAGAATTATTTCAAGTGGGTGCTGCAATCCAAAGACTTGAGTCTTCCGCTCAAGGACATTCTCTCTCCATCTTTGTTTGCCATTCTGATTTTTTCCTCCTGCTGGAAGTTCCACTTGACAAATATTAAATTTCCTGGATCTATCCTCTGACTTCATTTTTCTCTGGTATTTTCCTTCTCCCGGTGGACATAGAATGGACTTAGGGTGTTTGCCTGAAAGCCTTGTCACACTTACACTCAGAGTTGCCTGGTCAGGACTCTCACAGGAAGAGGCCAATAGTGGAAAAAGACCTATACTCATTGTAGCTATTTAAAATCAGTGTGGTTTCCTGACTAAAACTCTTCAATTCCAGGGAGAAAGTGACAAGAGGTAAGGCCAGGTAATTAAAGGACTTTATGCTGAAGTCTTCTGGGTTCACCATATCTAGGTCTCCTTTTGTCCTTGGGCCCATAGGAGGATTACACGTCCTAGCTCCCTGCTGGACCAAAGTCACCAAGTTTGGGGAGTCATTACATCTTTTAACCTTTGTAAATATGTTTACTAGTGAGTTGCGATTGCTAGTCTGATAAACACCAGAAGTAAAAAAGAAATACATAGTCTTAAATGAATAAAGCAAGTCAAATATCTATAGGCTCAATCTTATTGAGAAATTTGCTTGTAGATGTGAGTTTAACAAATCAAAAGGTTAGATTTAACATTACTTTTATCTTTGTTTTTAATCAATATCAAATTTTAGGATATTGTTTTGTTTCCTATTATTTTTATGGTTACTCTCTATCATACAACTGATGCTAGTTTTCCATTTATGGTAGGGATGTAAAGTCTTCTTTAAAAATAATTATGCTTACATGTAAAATGAGTATCTGAAGACAAACATCAATTTTACAGGTGGTGTATGGGTATGTAAAAAATTAGGAAGTTGGCCCTAGCCAGTTGCTCAGTGCAGCCGTGGGCAAACTACGGCCCGCGGGCCGGATCCGGCCCGTTTGAAATGAATAAAACTAAAAAAAAAAAAAGACTGTACCCTTTTATGTAATGATGTTTACTTTGAATTTATATTAGTTCACACAAACACTCCATCCATGCTTTTGTTCCGGCCCTCCGGTCCAGTTTAAGAACCCATTGTGGCCCTCGAGTCAAAAAGTTTGCCCACCCCTGGGCTAGAGCATCGGCTCTTGGACTGAAGGATCGCAGGTTCGATTCAGGTCAAAGGCATGTACCTTGGCCCCTGCTTGATACCCAGCCCGGATCCCCAACCCCGACATGTGGGAGGCAACCAATCGATGTGTCTCTCTCACATGGATGTTTCTCTGTCTCTCCCTCTCCCATTCTTTTAAAAAATCAATAAAAAAAAACACCTCAGGTGAGGGTTAACAACAACAACAATAAAATTTAGAAGTTGGTACTAGAATGACTGAAGTTTGGGAAATATAGCTTTATTACAAACAAAAATATCTCAAAACCACTTAGAAACCTAATGTACCTCACTTAAATAGTTCTACTTTAAATATAAGCTTTGGTCGTACTTCCTAATATAGCAAACTCTAAGCTCTGTGCTTGATAACTGTTTTACATGCCATTCAGCCATATACTGGTGCCAAAGAGAAACTGAGTAATTATTGATAAGTTGTTCCACACTTCCTCTATTGGACGCATTCCTTTGTGTGTGTGTGTGTGCAAGCAAAATAAGGTTTCTCTTTTGAAAATATTTTCAAATACTTTCAATTACACTTAAACTCCAGAATAAATAGCTGAAGGAAGAGGTTTTTATTTTTAATTTTTAAACTTTAATTTTTTAAAGCACATCAAGAAAGAGATGCACCACCATCAAGTTTAGAGCTTTCAGAGGGCAGCCTCCAGCGGAGGAGAGATGATTTGACTCAACGATCAGCCTTAGTTCTTGGGTACAGCGTCAAGGTTTCTCTATCCCCTGCAACAGCGGTTCTCAACCTGTGGGTCAAACGACCCTTTCACAGGGGTCGCCTAAGACCATTGGAAAACACATGTATAATTACATATTGTTTTTGTGATTAATCACTATGCTTTAATTATGTTCAATTTGTAACAATGAAAATACATCCTGCATATCAGATATTTACATTACGATTCATAACAGTAGCAAAATTACAGTTATGAAGTAGCAACAAAAATAATCTTATGGTTGCGGGTTACCACAACATGAGGAACTGTACTAAAGGGTCGCGGTATTAGGAAGGTTGAGAACCACTGCCCTGCAAGATTTTTCTAACCCAAGGGGGAGAGGGAAAATTAAACTTGCATACTGACAAAAAACGACAATGGTGATGTATGATTATCACTCATATAGTTAATGTCATGTACTTTTGCCAATTCCATCATGTTTCCAACAGTTCCAAGAAAATCCCCCTTCTGTAAACTGGGAGGCGATCCCAGGGTCTGGCCTCCAAGGCGGGGCCTGATTAGCAAACCACAGAGACCATTCACCGCTGGCTCCCGCCATCAGGCCGCTGCGCCCCTAATCGCCTAAGCAGACGGCGTCTCCCGGGACCCTGCACCCCATCCCCCGCAGCGAGCACCTCCCCGCAAGCCTGCTGGCCGCGCTCTGACCACTGACTAAGCCGCCCGCCCCGTCCAGGCGGGAGCAGGACCACCTTCTTAGGTGTCGGTGCTAAATCAGTGCTGAGGGCGGGACGCGCGCTGGTTCCCGCGACTTGTCTTCCCACGATGGTAAACCCGGGGCACAGCGTCCTGAACCCCGACCTCAGAACCAGGGCTGGGTACTCCCCCCGCTGGGGGCCTAGTGGGAGCCAGCCTACCCTCGCTCGTAAGTAGATGCTCCTCACGCTGCTGGACAGGCGTCATGTCTAATATTCCTGAAGCTTTGCGGTGCGCCAGGACTCCCCGAACAGCCTGCGAGAAGTAGGGGGCGGGCTTTGAGAGGCAAGACCTCCTCTGATTGGTTGACTTCGGAGGGAAGCTGCCTTCCATTGGCTGGTGTGAGGGTGGTGAAGTGCGCGGGAGATTTGAATACCTACTTTGTGTGTGGGCCAGGACCTAGGTAAGCATTCCCAATCCGCATTCTCCCCACTGTGTTTTTACACATTAGTACTTGACCAGTACGACAGCCAGAAGGCGCATATTCCGAGCACTGTGCTGTTCGCTTGGGAGCTCCAACCTCAGCTCTGGGTTGGACACAGCCACCCCGAAGTGCCAGGCTTGAGCCCTGGGTTCCGGCATCTCCTCCCACCTCCAGCCCCTTTACCCCTCCTGGTTGTGAGAAGCCTAGAAATCTCTCACGTCTCTTCCCGGCCGCGCCGGCTCTGTGGCCTAGTGCACCTGGGCCTGCCTGCGAACACCTTACGGTATCGTCCAGCCCAACCCCGCTGTACACGTGGGGAGTCCGAAACCCAGCGGGAGCAGCGCGGCCGGAGATAACCCAGCCCGCGGCCGGCCTATAGCTGGTGGGTCTCCCCTGCTTGGTGTCCCACGTCTTTGTGAGAAGTTGAGATGGCCGGCTCCCAGGCCACAATCCTGTATCTCCTGCGCTGGGGACTGTAGAATTCGCGCCTGCGCAGAGCCTCCGGGAGAAGGTGCTTCGCGCCGGACCCCTCCCCCTTTGCCCTGGGCACGCGCGTCACCTGTTGCCATGGAGACTTCGTTGTTTACCTTCCTCTTCTGCGAGAGCCGGGAACTGCAGTTGGGATTAGGAGGCTCTTATTCCGAGCTGGTGTAGTTGTTCTTCGTGGCGCTGCGGTAAGTACATCCCGGCCCCACCCCGTCAACCCTTGACTGCAGCCCTCAGCCCTACGCAAAGTCTTATGCCTGCTGGGTTCAGCCCTAATTTAGGTCTAATTTCGATTTTTTCTCGAGGCTCTCAGATTTATTCAGGAGTCTTGTGTTAAGTTTGAGCGTCACGCTCAGGCAAATTTGGGAGAGACTGTAAGAGGTACTGGACTGGGAAGAAAGGGGGAGACTCCATGCTGTCTGTCGAGGCTGAGTTTCCTGGGGTGCTCAGCCTGGTCAAGATCTGACCAGGTTCCATCCTTGCATGTTTGAAGGGCTTCGGAGATCCAGACACCCCTAAGGGCAGGCACTCAGTTTTTTGGGTAGGGATTCAGGTGGGGTGGGTGGGGATTTAGTCTTTCTGTTGCTGTGGACTCATGTGTTCCCCTTACTGTTCTCTCCTTTTCTTTGTCCTGGGAAGTTTTTAGATTCTCTTATCTGCTAAATAGGCTCAATACCCAGTTGCTAGTTTACAGATAATTGTATGTGTTCACTTTTAAAGAAAACATGTCTGGGTTCATCTGTGTATCAGTATCTAGTAAAATTGAACACTCCCCATTCTAATAAGTCATAAAAATACATGAATGTGTTCACCAAAAGACAGGTAGGAGAACCTTTTTAGCATTCTCATGATAGGCCCCAAACAAACAACAACACAAATACCCATAAACAGTAGAAAAGACAGATACATTTTGGTATATTTATACAATGGTATACTACACTGCAATGAGAATGAACCAACTACAACTATATGAACAATACGGATGCATCTTACCAACATAATGTTGAGTAAAAGAAGTCAGATACAAAAGAGTACATACTGTATGATTCCATTTATATGAAGTTCAAAAACAACAAAACTAATTTATAGTGTTAAAAGTCAGGATAATGGTACCCTGTGGGGTGGGGGTGGAGAATAGTGACTAGAAAGAGGCATGAGGTGCTGGTAATGCTTATTTCTTGATCTGGATGCTGGCTACACAGATGTGTTCATTCTGTGTACAGATTATGATTTATGCACTTTTTGGTATGTATATCACATAAAAAAATGGACATTTAAAAAAGGACAAATTGCTTTCTCTTCCCGGGATTTTACTTAATCTAAAAGAAGTCTGCCTTTGGTCAAATGGCCAAACTACTCCAAGCTCCACCGAAGTTCCTGCCCTCCGAGTGGCACCTTGCTAACAAGAGCCAGTACCACAAAGCAGAGGCTGAAAGGTCCCGGTCCGAACGCCTGGTGGCAGAAAGCCAGAGGCTTGTGGATGAAATCGACAAGTCCACGAGAAAATCTCAAAGCGATGTGAACAAGAAGCTAGGTAAGACAGTGCACTTGGTGTACTTGTGAACATGTTTTGATGAAACTGTTCAGGTTTAGCCAGACTGTCATTTGCATTTCATGTTCAGGGTCTTAGGGAGAAACATGTGTATTCTCTAGGTTCTATGTCTAAGTTCACTGCCCCAAGACAGCATGATAATCCTGTCTGATTTTCAGCCATCTGTCATCTATGATTTATTTATTCCATACACAGTAGTTGAGCATCTTAGAGCATCTCTGGACTAAGTTCTGGGAATATCACATGGTAATCAGAGTCTCTACTTTTTTTTTTTTTAAATATATTTTATTGATTTTTTACAGAGAGGAAGAGAGAGAGATAGAGAGTTAGAAACATCGATGAGAGAGAAACATCGACCAGCTGCCTCCTGCACATCTCCCACTGGGGATGTGCCCGCAACCCAGGTATATGCCCTTGACCGGAATCGAACCTGGGACCCTTCAGTCCGCAGGCCAACGCTCTATCCACTGAGCCAAACCGGTTTCGGCCAGAGTCTCTACTTTTTAAGGGCTCCTGGCTTAAGGAGGAGAAAGATACAAATATTATAACCTGAATATAGCCAGATAGGTCCTGGGGTAAGGGGTATAGAAGTAAGAGAATTGAGAAAGATTTCCTAGAGAAACATTTGAACTGATTCTTAAACGAAGAGTAATTTTCTCTTGGGAATTCCATTCTTAAACACTATAAAGGGCACTGCCCTTAACTAAAACAAGAATAAACATAAAATTTCCCAAATGCTAAAAAATAATAAACCCGAGGTCACAAACTCAAGTGTCTATAAGGATTGTGCCGGTAGAATAAGAGTTGAATAAGACCCTCTAAGAATAGGGAGTGGAGGGGATGGTGGTTACCTGGAGAACGTGTGCTCCATCTAAGGAATCAGCTACTAAATTTCAAACAGTCTTTTTCCAAGAAAGATTATGAGCTTGGTATTGTCAAATTTTTGTCTGATTTTTTAAAAAGAAAATCTGGAAAGCTGAAAATTTACCCACTTTTAAAATGTTGGCGATGAATTTAATGCATTTATAACATTGGGCAGGATGAACAAAAACACCTATGAAGGAAACATGGTTTAAGGGTAGTTAGTTTTTCAACCTCCAATACACCAAAGCTGCTTCAGATCAATAATGTTAGATGTTAGAATTTGTAGTTAGAACATATAAAGAACTTTTAAAGATAAAGAAGAAAAAGGCAAACAACTCGATAGAAAAATGGGGAAAACCTTAACAGACACTTTACAAGTGAGGAAATCTAAACAGCCAATGAACATATGAAGAGGTGCTCTAACTTCATTATTCATCAGGGATATACAAATTAAAATCACAGCTGAGATGCCATTACATACCCACCGGAATGGCTAAAATGAAAAAGGAGGACCAGGAGGGGAAGTGGGAGAAGTTGTTAAATAAGAGAGGGGGGGAAAAAAGAAAAAGAAAAATACCTCCCTAGCCAGTTTGGCTCAGTGGATAGAGTGTCGGCCTGAAGACTGAAGGGTCCCGGGTTCGATTCCAGTCAAGGGCACATGCCTGGGTTGCGGGCTTGGTCCCCAGTGTGGGGAGAGGGTGCAGGAGGCAGCTGGTCAGTGGTTCTCTCTCATCATTGATGTTTCTGTCTCTCTCTCCCTCTCCCTTCCTCTCTGAAATCAATAAAAATATATTTAAAAAAAAGAAAAAGAAAATATCAAGTATTGGAGAGGATGTGGAGCAACTGGAACTCTAGTACCTTACTGGAGGAAGCATAAATTGGAAAAATTATACTGTGAACACTGGAAGTATAACTGCTTTGGAAAGCTTTGATAGTATCTACTAAAGCTGAACATATTGCATACACTTTGACCTAGATATTGCACTTTTAGGTATATACCTAACACAGATTCTAACATATGTTTACGAAAGATACATGCTGCAATGTTCAAAGCAGTGCTCCTTGTAATAGTCCCAAACTAGAAACTATCCATGTGCTCATCAACAGTAGGGGTCATACAAATGTCAAAGAGGCTGTGAGCTGAGCACAAATGAATCGGAACTGGTGGCTTGAAGATTATTGGTGACCTTTGAGATGGCAGGTCCAATAGGGTGGGGGAAGATGCAAGGTGAGGGTAGGGGTCAGTTATAAAGTGTGAGTGGGGAGACTTCACTTTACATGGTGAATGGAACACGTGCATTAGTCTTCCTTTCCTTTTAAAATTCCGACAAAGGAGTAGTAAAGGATTAATGAAAAGTATGCCTCAAAGATGAGATGGGGGCAAGGGTAGCAACACCAGACAAATGATGAAGATTTTGGAAGCTAGAAAGCAAAAGGTCAAGTGGTAACATACTTAGGGACTGCAGAAAGCCTGGGTAGGTAGAGGGCAATGAGAAGCCAGCTGATTCATGCTACAGATTTATGCTGCAGACACCTTGAAATGCTCAAATTGGAAGCATCCAATGACCTCAGAAGCTGGAGATTCAGAATAGAGCTGGAAACAAGATTGGTTGCAAGTCTTTGTAGAGAGCCCCTCCCCACTCTGACTCTCTTCCCCTGAGCAGAAGGCTAATGGGAGTTCCAGAAAGAGCACAGAGAAGATGGAGAAGAAGAAATCGCCCATGAGAGAATGCAAGAACATTTCCTAGAGCCAAAAGGTCTAGGTTTTCAGATTAAAAGGGCATGACTAGTATGTGGCATAATAATTGAATAAGATGGACACTAGGAAAATAGAGAAGACATTTCTAAAAGCTTTTCAGGTCACATACAAAGGATCCGGAATCAGAATGGCATCAGGCTTCTCATCAGAAACTTTGGAAACTAGGAAATGAAGCAATGCCATCACAATTCTAAATGAAAATTATTTACAACCTATATATCTGCCTAAAGCCAAATATAATCAAATGATGGACGAGGTAGAATAAAGGCATTTCAGAATTCCAAGGTTTCAAAAATTTTACCTCACATGCATCCATTTCTTAGGAAGTTATTGAAAGATGTGTTTCAACACATTGAAGAAGGAAACCAAGAAAAAGAAAGGCCCTGGTCGGCATGGCTAGGTGCACACCCGAGGGGTTTTGGGTTCAATTCCGGTTAAGGGCATGTACCTGGAGTGCAGGTTCAAATCCTGCCCCCCAGTTGGGGTGTGCGCAGGAGGCAACCAAATGATGTGTTTCTCTCACAATGATGTCTTTCTCTCTCCCCTCCCCCCTCCCTTCCACTCTCTCTAAAAAAAATTAATGGAAAAAATATCCTTACTCCTTGGGTGAGGATTTAAAAAAAGAAAGAGAAAAGAATAAATGAAATCCAAGAGAGAGGACTCCAACACACGAGATAGTGAAGGGAATTCCTAGAATGATGGCGAAGCAAAGTCATAGGGTGATAGCCACAACATCCAACTAGAGGTTGGAGCCGGAGGAGAAAGCATTCCTGGAGAAAGGTCTCCAGCAAAGAAACAAAATCAATAGGTTACTTGATGGGTTTGAATATACTGAGAGGATATTTATACAGTAGTCCCTCCTTACCCATGGGGGATATGTTCCTAGACCCCCTATTCGATACCTAAAACTGTGGATAGTACCCAACCTTATATATCCTCCTAGAGGCCCAATGCACGAAATTCGTACACTGGTAGGGTCCCTAGCTGCTGGCTGGGTACTCCCTCCCTTCCCCAAGCTGGCCCTGCCCCCTGGTCGAACTCCTGGTGGAGGGGAAAATTTGCACACTACACTTATATTATATAGGATGTTTTCCCCCCATACATACATACATACATACATGCAATACATATCTTTTCATTGAAGGAAGCACATTACGGTGTCTCTTTGGCATATCCTAATAGCCAGAATCACTGCTCTTGTGTGTTGGGGCCATTATTGAGTAAAACAAGGGAAACTTGAACACAAGCACTGTGGTACCACAACAGTCAATCTGATAACCAGGATGGCTGCTAAGTGGCTAACAGTAGTGCAGTGTACACAGTGTGGATACACTGGACAAAGGGGTGATTCTCATTCCGGGTGAGACAGAGCGAGAAGGTGTGAGATTTCAGAATGGTGCGCAATTTAAACCTTATGAATGATTTTTTTCTGGAATTTTTCATTTATTTTCAGACCTCAGTTGACCACAGGTAACTAAAACCATAGAAGCAAAACTGCAGAGAAGGGGCACTGCTGTAGTTTTGTTAGAAAGTTTGAAGAAAAATTAGTATTAAATATGTAGAAAATAAAGCAAAAATATATTAACCTCTCCCAAAAGCAAAAAGTTGTAGAAGGAAAGAAATTTATCATAGTATACTATGTGGTTCAGGTGTATATAGCATTTAGATATTTACAATAATACCAACAAGCATTACTTTATTACTTAACAAGATGGTGATACAACTATATTGGGAAGATGGAAGGAGCAGAAGTATGTTGTGAAAGTTGTGTAAGAGCAAATACATTCTTACCTTCATCATAGCAAATCGGTAGATGATATTCAAACTGATAATGAATACACAGCAGTGTAAGCAAGTGGCAGAAGAAATACTGGAAGTGTTTAGTGGTTGCTTCTGGAAAGTGGGAGTGGATAGAGATCAGTCAGAGATTTGTAATACTTGTAATACTACTTGACTTTTCAAGCAAAATACATTTATATGTTTGATAAAGTTAAAAGTTATTTAAAGACAGTGGACATTGAGGAATTAGAGTCAATGAGTGTAGAATGATCTTTGGATTAATCTGATGGTGAATGTAAGAAGTATTTTCCTCCCCCGCCCCCTCAAGAAGTTCTAAGAAGAAAAGAACATCTCATTAAGACGTTTGCGATAGTCTTAAAGTTTCTAATCCAAAAGTTGGCTGCATTGGGAGTAGATTAACCCTCCTGTAACTTCTCTGTGGGCTTCAGAACAGAGACTTGAGGAAGTCAAATTCTGGAAGAAGGAGTTAGATGACAAACTTGAGCAGCTTGTATATGCGACCGAAGATCTACTCGCCTATCAGACCAGATTGCGGAAAGCCCTGGAGAGCCTGAAGGAGCCCTTGCACATCACGCAGAGGTGCCTGGAGTACAGGTAGGAGGGAAGGTCCCTCCGGCGAATCATCTGTTACGAGAAATGAAATGCTGGGTAGTGAGAGCTGACCGTGCTGGGTGGTGGGTTAGAACGAGGCAAATGAGCATGTGTTCTTTTAGAGCCTGAAATTATCTCGGCATGCCCGTGGTGCCGGGCAGTGGACGCAGCACTAGACTGGGTTCTTGTCTAAACTCTGCCCTTGACTAACTTAAATATAAGTTGGGACTGGGTTTGGCTGTGGGTAATCAGAAAACCGCAAAATAACACTGAACTGAAATAAGATAGCAGCTTCTTTTCTCCCATTTAAGAATCTGGAACTAGGTCAGGGTTGGCATGGTGTGCCACAGTGTCAGGGCTCTGGGCTCTCTCTCTCTCTCTTTTAAAATGTTTATTATTGATTTTAGAGAGAGAGGAAAGAAGAAAGAGAGAGAGAGGGAGAGAGAGAGAGACATTTGATGAGAGAGGATGAGAGAGAACATCAATTGGCTGCCTCCTGCACACCCCCCTGGGGATCAGGCCTGCAACCCAGCCATGTGTCCTGACTGGAATCAAACCAGCGTCCTCTTGGTGCATGCGTCGATGCTCAACCACTGAGCCACACCGGCTGGGCCAGGCTTTCTCTATTTTTTTTGCTCTACTGCATATGGCTTTCACTCCCAAGGTTACCTGGTGATTCATGATGGCAGCTGGAGCTCCAGCCATTGTGCCTACATTCCAGCAGGTAGGAATAATTAGGGTTTGGCATTCACCATTCCTACTTGCATCTTGTTGACCAGGACTTAGTCACATGGTCACACCACTAGTAACTAGGAAATGGTGTCTTTATTTCGGGCGTGCAGAGCAGGTACTGCAGTTACCAGAGGACAAGAAGTCTACTCCTATACGCAGAATCACACAGAAGTACTGTGTCCAGAGAGCACTGTGCAAGCATAGATTTCTATTCTAATTTCTTTCCTCTAAGTCCTGTGAGTAGATGATTATATCTCCTCTGGGCTAATGGTCATTTCAGACCTGTCCCTGTCACAGTGCTAGATGGCATGCCATCACCGGTCTTCTTGCCACCAGCTTAGTCCCCTCCAATCCAGCGCATCCTCCACCCAGGATTTTCTTTTTAAATATATTTTTATTGACTTCAGAGAGGAAGGGAGAAGGGAGTGAGAGATAGAAACATCAATGATGAGAGAGAATCATGGATTGGCTGATTGGCTGCCTCCTGCTCACCCCATGCTGGGCATTGAGCCTGCAACCCAGGCATATGCCCTCACAAGGAATCGAACCGTGATCTCCTGGTTCATAGGTTGATGCTCAACCACTAAGCCATGCCGGCCGGGCCACCCTGGCTTTTGAGCAAACTTTTCTGAATGCAGATTTTTACAGGTCACCCTCACGCTTTAACATTTTTTAAATAATTGCAACCCCATACCCTAGTACCTTCAAGATCAAGTTCAAACTTCTTAGCTGAGCAAACAGAGTTCATCATGATTGGGCCCACAGTGACCTCCAGGCCCGCACCTGATCCCCAACAGCGGGATGTGCTTAGGTGTGCTGAGCGACTCCCAGTTTCCTGACACACCATGGCTCTGTCCACTCTGTCCCCTCTTCCTGGAAAGCCCTCCCTCAATGAGCGTAGCCAGGACCCTCTGCACCCACCAGGCAGCAGTCTCCCCAGCCAGACTTAGAGAGTTTGTGAGGCAAAGGGAAAATCCCCATGAAAGAAGCCAACATCCTGTCAGCTCAAGTCTACACCTGAGCGTGAATAGAATGTAGATGTTGCTAAGTTGATTGAGTAGGTGCTACTACGTGCCTCCCATGCACTATCATGCAAGGTAGAAAAGAACAAAATACCAGGTATTAGGCAGTGACTGGTCAGTTTTGGGAGTTACAGCACAGTGATTAAAAGCATGCGTCATGCCCGGCCGGTATGGCTCAGTGGTTGAGGTGTCGACCTATGAACCAGGAGGTCACGGTTCAATTCCCTGTCAGGGCACATGCCTGGGTTGCGGGCTTGATTCCCAGTGGGAGGTGTGCAAGAGACAGCTGATCAATGATTCTCTCATCAGTGATGTTTCTATTTCTCCCTTTCCCTTCCTCTCTGAAATCAATAAAAATATATTTTAAAAAAAGAAACAAAATCTCTGACATTAAAAAAAGCATGCGTCATGCCCAGTTCTGTGTCCTGGGCTCAACCTCCCTGAAACTCAGTTTCCTCGCCGGTGCTCGAAGGGCTCATTGAGAACATTCTCACGAAGAGCTCAGCACAAATGTTGCTATTATTATTATAAAGCACCTTTCTGGATTCCAATCCTGGTCAAAAGATGGAACTAGGATCAAGGAAGGAAACCTATGTCTTTGAAATTCTAAGCCAAAAGAAATGTTTCCACTAAACAGAAAGATGGACAAGGCTTCAGAACTGATGTCCAAGTCGAGGGGAAATGTCCATCTGGCATTTTCGGACCAGGGACCAGCCATCGGTCAATTTTTCCTCACTGCGTTTTGGATTTGTTTCAAGGCGCAAAGACCCAACTAGTGTACATCCCCGACCAGGCCATCCATCCAGAGTGGGTGCTCCTCACACCAGTTGTCCAGATGGCTTTAAATGTCCAGATGTTAGCATTATCACGTTGCCTCCCTCCGCACGTTGGGTGACCCGCCCCTTTCTCTGGGCAGGGAGCAGCGAGTGGGCATCGACCTGGTGCATGATGAAGTCGAGGAGGAGCTACTGAAGGAGTACGAGATGATCCAGGGGGTGATAGCCCTGCTGACCCGCACCCTGGAGGAGACCACCGAGCAGATCAGGTACGGCTGTTCGGAGCCACTCCCACATCTCCACGGGGCGTACCTAGAAGAGGCAGCACCCACCAAGGCTGGGCTCCATGGCACAGAAAGAATGGGGTTCCGTACTCCTACGTGCACTTTCCATGGCAGAACGAGGCCTGGACAACCTCGCGTACCTGCCAGTCTCCCTCTGGTGGTGGGTGGGGTTGGGGCCGGATGTCAGCCCTGCCTATAAACTGGAGGACACTCGAGCTGTTTTTTCCTAGCACGGACCTCTCACATAGAGTATGCCACAGTGGTGACATGAGAAAAGGCCACAGCTGGAGGATGTTGAAGTCCAGGCTTGGTTACGTTAATTTGTCACCAGGCATCTCGTGGGGTATGTGTGGGGAGGGCGGGGGGTTGAGTGATGGAAGGGGAAGGAAGTGCCACCATCTGTACTAGACTGAGCTGTAGCTTCATTTTCCAGGGCCTCCCGAGAAACTGTAGGTGCCATCTGGGCCTTCCAGAGGGAGAAACCTTTCCCTTCTCCCTTCAGGCTGAACCGCTCTGCAAAGTACTATCTCGAAAAGGATTTGAAAGACAAGTTTGTGGCCCTGACCATTGATGATATCTGCTTCTCACTCAACAACAACTCGCCAAACATCAGATATTCTGAGAATGTCGTGAGGGTTGAACCAAAGTGAGTGGGTCCCCGCCTGCTGGCCTGGCCACGCTGTGCTCCTCCCTGCTACCTCGTGCCCCCGTGCTGCGCAGGCAGGCAGGCAGGGCCGAGCGCATCATCCCAGCAGCAGGCTAATCACAGTGAACAACCCCCATGAAACCACCAACCAGGTCAAGAAATGAAACATTACCGCCACCCGGAAACCCCCATCCTGTCCCTTCTTGGCCAATACCCCCCTCTCTTCCACAAAGATGACCACATCCTGACCTCCAATAGGTTTGTCTGCTTTTACAATTATTAAGTAGCATCGTATACGATCTATTTTTGTCACTTTTCTTCCAATCAACATTATTTTGAGATTCATCAGTGTTATATAAAGCAGTTCCTTATCAAGCTAGCAATTTATTGATCTCAGTATGGACTCATGGTATCCTATTTTATTCAGTGTGTTATAATCTGTTACTATCATCGTTTATTTCAGTGCTCAAATTGTCTCTACCTGTGTGATCTTGACCAAGTTACTGCCTCTTTCCGAGCCTCAGTTTTCCTCCTCTGTAAAATGGGGTTATGAACGTTAGCTCACTAGGCCCTCATGAGGATTAAATGAGTGAATGTCTGTGAAATGCCAGCGCATTGCTTGGCATAGAATAGGTAGGTTTCCCCAAAGTGACATCTCTTGCCACTGACAGACCACTGTTCGCTCTGCCTGGAGATGAAGAAACATTCTAGGTCAAGCATGTCAAACTCGCGGACTGTGGGCCGCATGCAGCCCACAACGAATATTTTTGTGACCCAGCCAATATAACATAATGTAAAAAACTTTGTAATAAAAGTTTTGTAACTTAATTTTTACAATATCCTGTTATACATAATTATTATAATGAACTATAACATTCACTAATGACTGATTACTATCATCGTGTTGCATTCATTTCCCTTACGCGCCTCACACGCAGGCGCACCATTTTGCTCCACTAATACTAGCAGCAAATATTTTAGCAGCTGATTGCCACGTCATTAGTCTTGGACTGACTTGTTTGGTGTGCGCAACAGGAAATATTTCGCTTTTGGAGAACAAGAAAAATAGGTTTATTTGTGCAGTTATTCAGTTGTCTGGTAAGTTTATGTTCAAGAAAAAATATTAATTTTTATTAAAATGTTCTATTATTTTATGTTAACGATGACTCATTTATTGCAGCCCTTTGCATTCAGCACGTCTCTATTGAAATAAACCTACGTTTCTATGAGAATGGGAGCTTTTGTTTTTTTGTGGCCCACATACACTTCAACCTTGTTTATTTGGCCCGTGTGCGCCTTTGAGTTTGACATGCTTGTTCTAGGTGCTTCTGGTGGTCAAGGTCAGGTTAGCTTCCAGGGGGTTTCCAGGAGCTCGCCCCCTCCCCGCCCCCCTTCCCAGCCCAGATCCTCCGTGAACGAATGCCCGGGTCTGTTTCAGCTCTGTGAGCCTGGAAGACTGGCTGGACTTCTCCAACACCAACGTGGAGAAGGCTGACAAGCAGCGGAACAACTCCCTGATGCTGAAGTCCCTGGTGGACCGAGTCCTGTCCCAGACGGCCAGCGACCTGCGCAAGCAGTGCGACGTGGTGGACACGGCATTGAAGAACGGGCTGAAGGACACCAAGGATGCCAGGGACAAGCTGGCTGGTCATTTGGCCAAGGTGAGCTCCCTGCGAAGGTTTCCCCACGGAAACCTGGACTGGCCTCTGGGCCAGGCTGCTGCCTCCTGCGCGTGTGATCTTGGGTTAACTCAGGAGTCAGGGTCGTACACATCTCTCCATTTTAGCAGCAGGGTTTGGGGTTTGGGGACTGGAGTGGGACTTGGACCCACTCTGGGCTCCGTTGCCACTCATTACTGCAAAGAACAGCCTATCTCCTCCCTCTGGGCCTCAGTTTCTCCTTATGTGAAATATGGGGATGGACGACATGGTCTCAGACATCATTGATGACCCTGAAGTTCTGTGAGTTGAGCGCACCCAATTTCTCCAAACCCAGCTGCAACTTCGGGATTCTGGCTGGCTGTCCATCTCAGTTTTCCAGTGGTGTGCTGGTAACTGGCTCTCAGAAAAATAAAGTCCTCAGTTTGTTACCCATGGACACAGACAGTAGGGGTGGTGAGGGCATGTGCTGGGGCGGGGGGCCGGGTGGGAGGAATGGCCAGGGAGAGGTCAATGAGGGATAAAGGAGACATATGTAATACTTTAAAGAATAAAGAATTTAAATTAAAAAATGAATACTATGTTGGAATAAAAGATGATGGAATTAAATAAATTTAATAAAGTCCCCAGTTTGCTGAATCTGTAGGTCTCCATGGTGTAAACACTTTCATCACAGTTGATTTGAAGCTACCCAGTTAACGATGGTCTGGCAAAGTTCCCGAATACTTAACCAGCAGAGCCCCCCTGAGCCCGCTCCAGTATCCCTCCCTAACCGCAAGGACCCCTGCGTCCTGAGGATATGTGACCATCCCACGGGATAAACTCAGGGCCACTGAGAAGCTGAGGCTAGTGGAACATGTGCTAGGTTTGGATATGTGGGCCCACATCCGGTCCAGTGACAGGCCAGCTGAGCGACGCCTGCCGAGCCCTCAAGCCCTCAAGCTCTCTGAGCCTCAAGCCTCACCTGTAACCTGGCCCCACTCTGGCAGTTTACTGACGGTGAAATGCAGAGAGCGGAAGGAACCCCAGGTGGCAAGGTGCATAGCGGGCAGCCTGGAACTAGAGCCCCGGCCTGCTCAGCTCCAAAGCCTTGTCCTCCTGCCGCATTCGTACCTCGCTCTCCCGGAACCCAGCGTCTGGTTGTCAGGATGGGTTTATGCGATGAGCAGGACAAGCCAGAGTGCAATCGAAGGTTATACTGTGGTCGTATTTCCTATCAAAATCTGTTGCAAATGTTCATCTGTGAATGCTGTTCTGTAATGAGATTTTATATATTTCATCTTGGGAAATGTCTTTTCATCTAAATAGTGCTGCCAAGTACTGATAACGATCTGTGAGCACATGATTTTAATTGGATACACTCATCGCTTGGAAGGCATTTGTAGAATTCTGTTGAGCTTCTTCTCCTGATACCGGCCTGTTAGCATGTCATTACATTTCGGATTAATCACTTGCTGTTGAAGGGTAGGCAGAAGCTCCTCAATTGCACAATTAAGTGGATTTTGAAATATGGAAATTTCCTTTGCACTTGTTTTGAGGTCCCCCCCCCCAAAAAAAACCAACCACTGCTGGCACTTGGAAAATATGTCTGCTGCACATCTGTGTGGGAATGGAGGTCTTGATTCTTGTTTAGACTTTTGACCGCACAGCTTGGCAAGACTTGTGATTCAAACCACGTTAGCTGTTGAAATGACTTTACCGCAGTGTAAGCTTTGCATATGAGTGTTCTCTTGCTTTCTGATTGCAGGTGGGATTCATTAAGATATATTATTACATCCTAGCTGGTTTGGCTTAGTGGATAGAGTGTCAGCCCACGGATTGAAGGGTCCTGGGTTCGATCCTGGTCAAGGGCATGTACCGCAGTTGTAGGCTCAATGCGGGAAGCAAGCAAGTGATGTGTCTTTCTCACATCGATGTCTCTCTCACCCTCTCACATTGGTGTTTCTCTCTCTCTGTCTCTCTCCCTCCCTTCCACTGTGTCTAAAGATTAATGGAAAAATATCCTTGGGTGAGGATTAACAACAACAACCAAAAAGATATATTATTACTAAGTCTGCAGCAAAGATTAATTTGCAAAGCTATTCAGTGTTTTATTTATTTATTATTATTATTTTTTAATCCTCACCCAAGGACATATTTTTTCCCCCCCATTGATTCCAGAGAAGAAAGGAGGGGGAGAGAGAAACATCCAAGTGAGAGAGAAACATTGATCGGTTGCCTCACGCATGAGCCCAGACCGGGGATCGAATCTGAAACCTGGGGATGTGCCCGTGACCAGGAATTAAACCCGAGGCCCTTTGGTGTGTGGGATGGCACTCTCACCATTGAGCACACCGGCCAGGGCCCTATTCAGTGTTTTATAGTAGTAGTTTCGTGGGGGAAGGGAGTGGTTCTTGTTTAGAAAAATTTCAATCATGGCCCTGAGCTCAAAATAAATCACAAGAAAATTTCACCACTGATAAACCATTCGATTGCTGAGGAGCAGGGCAAGTCAGGATATTCAGCTTCTGTTTCTGGCAAAAATTCACAGAACTGATGATGAGAGCTCATGAAGTCCACGGCTGATGATACGGGTTCAGTGACACTTGATGGATTCAGATCTTTTCTGCGAAGTACTTTTCTGGTGAATAATAATTAGAGCTGCAGAGAGCTCACATTTCCTCCACTTCTGTGAATATGTTCAACTAGCCGCTTCTGCTCCACACACATGTGTACCACCCTCAGCTACAACACTTCTTAGCAGATTCCACCTCGGGTTGTGTTGAATTAGTGTTTTCTCAACTTTCTGGAAATGTCCCTGCCTCTAGTTACTTCGTGCGACCATTCGTGGAGGCTGGTCCTTCAGTCCCTTCAAACTCAGCACCGATTCCTGGAATAAACACCCGAGCAGCATCAGGACCCCTGCCAGCTGGCGAAGAGCAAGGAGACCACCCCACCTCGTGCGGCTTGTTGTTCCATTGGCTGTTGATGCTGTTCCCAGGGTCCTGAACTCGTCAAGCAGCTGTTTTTGCAGAAAGACTGATACACAACTGTATGTTCTCTGGACACCCTTCCTCAGCTGCAACCAACATGTTTTAATTAATCTTTTATCAGTAAATGGCTTTCCGTGCTTGGTTGCAAATGAGACACTTGGAACCTGACTTTGATTGCAGCCTCCTTTTCATTTTTGGGAAGAGATTCTGCGGTGATGAGATACTCTGTTTTAAATGTCTAATTTTTCTGATCATTGCTTTCCTGTGAGTTGAGGCTGTCATGATGGTGCGTGGCCTGGTAATGACGCATGCCATATTCTTTCAGCACAGCTGGAGCGTCACTGCATGATAAACACAGTGCTTTGCTGTCTAAGGAACAAAATCGACACTTCACTAGGCCTTGAAGTGCACCGCAGGAAGCCTGGTTTCCTTGTTTTGACATGATGGGTATGTGCTGGTGCTAAAAACTGCCTGGTGATACATGTAGCTCGAGGGAAGCTGTCGTTATAACTGTGTCATCTGGACAGCGGTGCAAAGAACTGAGAGTGTAACATACATTCTGTCGCAACTTCTTAACCCGGACGTTGTAGTTTAAAAGCATGGCTGTGCTCCAATAAAACTTTATTATGGACACCAGTATTTGAATTTTATGTAATTTTCAGATGACATGAAATATTATTTTTCTTTTGATTCTTTCAGCTATTTAAAAATGTACCCCCCCTCCCCCCAGAGAGCAACCAAAGGACTCGTACGCCTGCATATTAGCATAACCAATGGACACAGACACTGGGGCGGTGGGGGCTTGCCCGGGGTGGGAATGGCTGGGGGTGGGGGAGTCAATTGGGGAAAAAGGAGACATATGTAAAACTTTAGACAATAAAAAAAAATGTACCCCCTCTTCCCCCCCTTTTTTTAAAGAAAGGAGACTAAAAAAGACAAGCCACAGATAAGGCACTGTTATCCAAAAATAGAGGAAGAACTCTTAAAACTCAACAATAAGAAAACAAACAGCCCAATAGAAAAACAGACAAAAGATGGAAACAGGCACCTCCCCAGAGAAGATATGCAGATGGTAATGAAGATATGAAAAGAGGCTCAACAGCCTATGCCCTCAGGGATTGCAAATTAAAGCAACGGGATGCCACTACACACCCACAGAACATCCAAAACACTGACAATGCCAAGCGCCGGCGAGGGTGTGGAGCAGTAGGCACGCTCACTGTTGGCGGGAGTGCCAAATGGTGCAGCCACTTGGGAAGACAGTTTGGCAGTTTCTTGCAAAACCAAACAGACGCATATGATTCAGCAAGCTCACTCCTTGGTATTTACCCAAACGGCTTGAAAACTTAGGTCTGCACAAAAATCTGCATATGAGTGTTGAGCAACTTTATTCATAATTGCCAAAGCTTGGGAGCAACCAGATGTCCTTTGATAGATGAATGGGTAAACAAACTGTGCTACATCCATACAATGGAATATTATTCAGTGATAAAAAGAAATGAGCTATCAAGCCACAAAAGGACATGGAGAAAACTTACATGGGTATCGCTAAATGAAAGAAGCCAATCTGAAATTCATACTGCATGAATCATACTGTATGATTCCAACTGCATGACACCCAAAAACAGTAAAAAGCATCTGGTTGTCAGGGCTTCGGATGGAGGTGGGGTAGGGAGGAAGGATGAAAAGGAGGAGCACAGGGATTTGTTAGGGCAATGAAACCTACTCTGTATGATACGGTAACGGGGGATACATGGCATACATTTGTTAAAATCCATAGAATGTGCAACACAAAGATGAAACCCTAATGTAAACTATGTACTTTAGTTAATAATAATGTATACAATATTGGTTCCTTAGTTGTAACAAATGTACCACATTAATGGAAGATGCTCATAACGGGGGAATCTGTGTTGGGGGAGAGAGGGTATATGGGAACTCTATACTTCCTGTTCCATTTTGCTGAAAGTCTAAAACTGCTCTAAAAATGAAAGTCCAGCCCTAGTCGGTTTGGCTCAGTGGATAGAGCGTCAGCCTGCGGACTCAAGGGTCCCTGGTTTGATTCCGGTCAAGGGCATGTACCTTGGTTGCCAACACATCCCCAGTAAGGGGTGTGCAGGAGGCAGCTGATCGATGTTTCTCTCTCATTGATGTTTCTGACTCTCTATCCCTCTCCCTTCCTCTCTGTAAAAAATCAATAAAATATAGTTTTAAAAACTAAAGTCCACAGCCCTGGCCAGGTGGCTCGTTGTGTGGAGCCTTGTCCGGCACACCAAAAGGTAGCCGATTCTATTTCCAGTCAGAGCACATACAGCGGTTGTGGATTCGATCCCCGTAAGGGAGGCAACCGATTGATATTTCTCTCTTTCTCTCTTCCTCTCTCTCTAAACAAAAACATATCCTTAGGTGAAGATTAAAACAAACAAAAAACTAAAGTCCATTAATTAAAAAAACATTCTTATTTCAGTCTGTACAAAAACAGTCTGTACCAAACCAGACTGCATTTGGCCCCTAGACTGCAGTTTGCTGACTCCTGATCTAACCCATAGTATTAGTAGTTTTGTTTGAAGGAATCTGTGCACTTAGTATATTTTAAGTATTTGTAAAACTTAAGAAAATTTGGCCTGTTTTAAAAATATCATAACAAAATTTGTAATTAAGTAATTTAGCCTTATGATTTTAGTTGAAATTTTAAGTTTGAAGACAGTGTTAAAGTATTTGAGAATTTAAGAGTAAACATTTTTACTAGTTTACTAGATTAACGAGGTCTTTTAAGAACTGCAGAAAGCCTTGTCTGCTAAGACGACTCAGGTAGTTTTTAAAAGTTTTATATGAAATGTATAAAAACTATCTGTTATATATCAAATTTACAAATGCTGCTTTAAATAAGTGTTTGAAGGATTTTAATGAGGCTTGAAGTTGGAGCAACTATTAGTCAAAGTCAATTTAAAGTGATTGTTAACATTTGCTAAATTTAAAAATAGTATATTCTCTGAGCTGAACTTAAGAAAACCTTAAGAAATGTTAAGAAAAGGCTCAAGAAAACAAAATGCAATGTGTGGACCTCATTTGCATTCTAATTTGAATAAACCAGCGGACAATCAGGGAAATCTGAGTGTGTTTGTGAGAGAGAAAAAGGTACCATCATTATGTTAAAAGACAATAAAAGCATCCTTATATCGTAGAAATACATACTCAGGTATTTAAGACTGGAATGATATAATATCTGAGATTTGCTTTGAAATAAGCTGATGGGCAGGGGTGGAGAGAAGGGGTTATAGATGAAACAAGATTGGCCATGTATCGATCATTGATTAAATTGATGAGTACCTGAGGTTCATTATATCAGCTACTTTTGTGTATGTTTAGAAAATTCTATGATGTAAAGATTTTTTTTTAAGTTTAAGAAAGAAACAAAAATTTAAGCTAGTTAAATATTAATCTAAAAACCCAAGTAACATCTAAGTCATCTTTTCTGTGCACAAAGCCACCTTCAAAGAAATCAGCAAAACTCAGTATTGAACTGCTCACACTTCAGGCTGCTAGGGAGCAGAATGGGTGCTAGTGGCTGAGTTGATGGAAATAGGCTGCCATCTACTCAGCATACACGGTACTTACTACCCAGGTGAACAGACAGCCTCCAGCCTTTACTGAGGGCATTCTCCAGGGAATTCCCATTATTTGGGAAGGAAATGCGGGAACAATGCCAGTCATTCCCACTCCATCTACGACAGTGGTTCCCAAACTTATTTGGCCTACCGCCCCTTTTCCAGAAAAAATATTACTCAGCGCTCCCTAGAAATTAATTTTTAAAAAATTTTAATAGCAATTAAACAGAAAGATATATGTATTAATGTTTCTACTTTTTCGTAAAATATAGTAAAGAAAGGTGTAAATTAGAAACATTGAAGTTTGAAATTATGAAACTATTTATTGAACTCAGAATAGAAAGGTAGCGCCCACTTTGGGAATCACTGATCTACGAGGTTCTAAGGTTGGGTGAGCTGCCTTGCTCACCAGCAATCCCTGCTGTAGGGAAGAGAGATCAGACTCATTCTGGGGCCCTGCTTGGGTAGAAATCTGAGGTCCCCTCTTCCTAGCTTACATGATCCCAACAGACTTCCTAAGAGTGTCTGCTATAGAGTTTTGAGGAGCACAACCTGGTCTCACCCACTCCAATCCTTTCTGTAAGGTCATGGAAGAGATTGCTTCCCAGGAGAAAAACATTGAATTTCTTGAAAAAGCCATCCTGGACCAAGAAGGGCCTGCCAAGGTGGCTCATACACGCCTGGGGACCAGGACGTGCCGGCCCAATGTGGAGCTGTGTCGCGATATGGCCCAGTACAGGCTGATCAGGGAGGTTCATGAGATCACCCACAACATTGCAAGGTAGGCTGGCGGCTGGGAGGGGGAGGGCCTCTGGGGTTCCATGTGAACCCGGACTGTGAACAGGGCTAGGCAATGCCATCGTGGGGGAAGCCTGCCGGGCATGAGCCCTTTTGCATCTATAATATGTGAGGGGTTCCTTTCTGGAGGACAGCCAAGAGGTTCCTTGTTAACTGCAGCCAATTGCTGCCATGCAGGAAATGGATACCAGCGTTTGCATTTTTCGAAAGTCCAAATCCAGATGTTTAGGTAAAACGCACAGTTTTAAATGCTGGCAGCTCATGGAGCTGTCTATCTTGTGCATCTGGCCTGTGGCCACCAATCTGAAATCTCCGTCTTCAGGAGGAGACACGGAGAAGGACATGCCAATTCTGCTTCTGCGATGAGCACACAAATACATGCCCCCGCACCCCCTGGAAAAGCAGTGTGGGGTGATAAACGATTCCCTTCTGTTCTTCCTCTTCTCCCAGATTAAAGGAAACATTAGCCCAAGCTCAGATGGAGCTGAAAGGGCTGAACCGCAGACAGCTGGCCCTGCAGGAGCAGATCCAGATCAAAGAGAACACCATCTACATCGACGAGGTGCTGTGCGTGCCCATGAGAAAGTCCATCCCGCTGCGGGATGGGGACGACCACGGGGGTTGGGCCGGGGGCCTCCGCCCGGACGCTGTCTGCTAAAAGTAGGGACCGCTCAGATGCTCATTAAACCTTATCACAGCACCACGGTGCCGCACTGTCATTTCAGGTAGGCGGCCCTTCCCGTCGGCCCCGCACAGCCTCTCGGCCAGGATTCCGACCTGCTCGGAGCTGAGATGGGGTTGCCAGGGTCTATGCCGCTGGTGCTGCTGGGGTGGTGATTGTTTAACAGTTAAATTCCATGTGTCAGCACAGGCCCTTCTGGTATCAGCGGGCGGGGGCCCGGGGAGAGGGGCCCAGCACACTAGGAAAGTCTCAGGAAGGCTTGCCTCCTCCAGTAATCTGTCTTGGTCCTTCCCTGGTCCATGGGTTCTGTTGACTGCATCTGCGCTTACCCAGAGAGCTCACATCGCATCGTCTTCCCTCGCTACCACCCCTCTGGCCTGATCTGGGGGTGCCCAGAGTTGGGCTCGCTAAGGTCAGAGCCACCTTCCCAAGGGACCAGGATTGTATCTGGGTAACAGTAATGACAGGAGTCCTTACATCCTACTGGCGACAGGTCCAGGCAACCAAAGGTACAAAACCTACAAGAACTTAATAGGAACTCTGAGAGGGCATTCCGAGCTCCCTGCCATACAAAACAAAGTATCTAGTCACAAGTCAAGCTCAGTGAGGGAGAAAGGTCTGTCTATATCCTGAAAGTTGGGAGAAACCCAGAGAGGGTGTGGGAGAACCATGGGATGTATGAGACTTTAAAGTGCGCAGAGAAGGGGTGAGGCCCACGCCCTGGGAAACGCCAATGCTTCCAGGATGAGTGAAAAGAGTCCCACCTGCAGACCAAGAGGGAAGGAACACGGAGGGAGGGCCTGGAGGGAGCCAGGAGAGCATGGTGTCCCGGAGGCCAAAGTAGAAGAATGTTTCAAGGCACTGGGGTCAGAGGGTTAAATGCTGCAGAGCGTTAGCTAGGAAAGGAAAAGCATCCTCTGGATTTGGCAATTAGGCAATCGCCTGGGGCACCTTGCCCAAAGCAATCTTTTAAAAAATACTCCTTTACTATTTATTTAATTTTCAACTACAATCTACCGTCAACATCATTCTGTATCAGCACAGCGGTCAGACAATCGTTTACTTTACAAAGGGGTCCCCCTGACAGCTCCCCACTCTGAACACGCCCGATCTCATCTGATTTCGGAAGCGAAGCGAGGTCGGGCCGGGTGAGTGCTTGGATGGGAGGCCACAGGCAATTGCAGTAGCGTATTGGAGGAAGAAGATGGGCACTTGGGCTCGGGGCCAGCAGATTTCCGTTCCACCCGGCTGCTCTCTGGAAGAGAACAGATGTGGGCGCTCGAGTGTGGATGACAGCTGCTGTCTGTCATGGGCATGGGGAACAGAAAGCCAGTTTGCAGCAAGAGAAAAAGTAGAAGCCGAGCCTCCAAGAGGAAGAAGAAAGAACTCCCTACAGGTCTCCCTTCCTCAGCGCCAGGTGGTTTCTGAGGCCCCTGGGTTCTGCGGGAGCTCAGCATCCTCATGTAGTATCCCCGTTCCGCTCACTGACGCCCAGGGGGGTTCTGTGGCTGCCACTCAAGAGAGTTGTAACTCACAGGCCATGTCACTTGACTGGCTAACTGAGAGGGGCGCGGGAGTGGGGGTTACCCTTGAGAGGGATCTTGATGGAGAAACAGACGTTTGCTGGGTAGCAAGGGGGACATGCCAGGGAGTGGCATGGCATACACAAAGGCAAGGGGTCTCAAAGAGCCAAATACGTTTCCAGGGGAATTGGGTGTGGGTCCCTATAAAGCAGTGGTTCTCAACCTTCTGGCCCTTTAAATACAGTTCCTCATGTTGTGACCCAACCATAAAATTATTTTCATTGCTACTTCATAACTGTAATGTTGCTACTGTTATGAATCGTAATGTAAATATCTGATAGGCAGGATGGTCTTAGGCGACCCCTGTGAAAGGGTCGTTCGACCGCCAAAGGGGTCGCGACCCACAGGTTGAGAACCGCTGCTATAAAGGATGCTACAATTTCAAATCAAAACCAAGGAGGACTTGTTATATAGCCTTGTAAGGCATGTATACCATTGTAATCCCAACAATTAAGACAACCGTTAACATGTTGAGTGCTTATAATGAGTTATTTATGCAAACTGTTAATATCCCCATTTTACAGGTGAGGAAATTGAGGATGGGAGGGGTCACACGCCTAGGATTCAGACCGACTTACCAGAGGTCACATGGCTAATGAGTTGCTGATGCTTAATTGGACCTCAGATCCTGAAACCAGGATGGGTTGCCTCAAAGTATTTTTTACCTGGAAATTCATCCATGGGTTTTGGCCTTTTTAAAAGTGTAAGAATTGGGAAGAATCACAGCTACTCCCTCGAAGCGGGCAGGCTTTGCTTGTTCTGTAGCTGACTTGTGTTCTCTGTAGGGAAATTAGGATAGACCCCAACGCCTCCGGCAATGCTCCCTGCACAGAGAACCCATTTGCTTCTTCAGCCAGTCAGCAAAGGTATTCTGGCATTATTGCACATCAGGCCTGTGGCACCACTGGAGGGCGTGTGTGTGTGTGTGTGTGTGTGTGTGTGTGTGTGATTCCCTTGTTCATTCATATGACAAATACTTGCTGGGCTCCAATTTAGTGCCAGGGACTGTGCCAGGTGCGGAGATTAGAGGTGAATTAGACAGAGCTCCATGTCCCCTTGGAGCTCAGTGCAGAGGCAGGCGGTACACAGGAACAACAAAGTCATTTCAGATAGCGACAGGGCCCTGATAGAAATAGGGTGACCTGAGACGAGTGACAGGACAGCGGCACTTTAGAGTGGTGCTGGGAGGGCTTTCTGATGAGCTGACACTG